AGTTTAGACCACAAAATTGGAAATCTAAACAAAATATCAGATAACAATGACGATTTATTTAAAACGAAATAACAAAAACTACTCAGAGGACAATAAACAAATTGAAAAAACACTTAGATGACTTAAGAATTACCTTCATCTTAATAGTTGTATCTTTCTCCTTTCTTGTCTTCCTTTTGCTATTCTTTGCCTTATACTGATTTTTTTAAAATGTAGACAACTACAATGAACCTAAAGATCTGATACGCTCTTACTATGTATTCTTCTTCTTCTTGAAATAAAAAGGGAAATAATTACATGATGCTTATGATTTATTTAGCTAAAGCTAGAATTGAATGTACACATACTACATTGATGCCCTTCATTGTGGAACTTCATCTCGAAAACTATCTCTTGGTTATTATGTCTTCTAACCACAAAACGTTGGATCATTAGTTTTGAAGTGGTTTGTTTTGATGACTGGCTATTCTTTTTGGCCAGAATAAAAATGAAAACAAGTCATCAGCACAATTAAAATAAGGAATCAACCTCTGCTGTCTTGATTATAGTTGTTGCCATATCCGGTATCTGTCACGTTGTTTTGCCACTGACCATTTTCTATTTCATGTATATGTGTCAACAGTGGCGGACCCAGGATGAAATTTTAGGGGATGCAAAAAAATATGAAAACTGTTATCTCAGGAATCGAATCCAAGAAAAGGGTGTCAAGCATAGGCTTTGTGAACCATTTAAGCTGTAGAAACTTTCAACATCACTACTAAAACTAATAATATATAAATTTATAGGGTGTCAGTTGAACCAGTATCACTTAAGGTGGGTCCGCCACTGTGTGTCAATATAATAAAATCCATATTACAATAGGAAATATCAAACTGAACACAAAAACCTAAAGCATATATCTAACCATCTTGATCTCGATCAAAATCGATTTCAAACTCTCCTAGTACCTGAAATAGATCAGCTTATATTTGAAAAGATTATAAATAAATTATCATCCAAAAAGGCATAACAAAACACAAAATATATGAAAATATGATAATGAAAAAAAGAGATACTCATATGTTTTGAATTGAGATGGTGCAGATGACGCAACTCCGTCTTCCTCCAAATCTTTCCTAGGCATAACAAAACACAAAATATATGAAAATATGATAAGAAAAAAAGAGATAGCCATTTGTTTTGAATTGAGATGATGCATATTACGCAACTCCGTCTTCCTCAAATTCTTTCCTATGAATATTACCTTCATCTGATGTACAAACAAAATCCAACAAAAATAACATAGAAGTAAACCAAACGATTGTATGACAAAGGAATTACCTTCTCTTCTTCGAGTTCTCTTCACCATCTTCCTCTTTTTGTTTGAGGATATAACATGCTTTTGAAAATTATAACAAACAATTAGATGACAGTGATGAATTATTTATCTATAATGATTTATAGAACATAAATAATAGAACTGAACAACTTAAAAAACATATCGAATAATGATATGTTCATAATTTGCATCATTTAGGTTGCATATTTCATTCCAAATCATGTTTTATTTCATGCATTTTAGGTTCTTAGGGTTTGTTTTAGAACTTAGGAGATGCATTAGGTCCCAATGAGTCTTTGCATGTTTTGAGTGTTTATCAGGTGTATTTGGAGTTATTTGGAGCTAAAAAGATGAATCCAGGAAGTGGAATGGTGATCAAGGCTTGAAAAATGGTGAAACTGGGTCTTTGGAGGTTATCGGCCATTCTCGCGTACCAGGAAGGTTTTTATCGGCCATTTTCATGTACCGCGGGTAGACTCTATCGGCCAAAACACGTACCGCGAGTGAATTGTATCGGCCAAAATCTCCGGGTGCAGACACGTTTCCGAAATCGCCTGTCCGGGGAACCTTCCGGTCCGATTCAGCTGTCGGGAGCTTCATCAAAGTTGGAGAGGATTGGATTACGGTTCCATAGAAAGTGGAATCATGGAATTCGGAAGCGTGAGCAGAGAGTTAAGCTCGTCGGAAGAAACCCCTATCTCGCTGCTGTTTTGGACCAAGCCGATGAGCTCTGAAGAATGCGAAGGACGGTGTACTTCCAGGCTGATTCAGTTTCCGGGGCCTTCATGAGAATCAGAGACATTTGAGTCTTCTTTCTATAACGTCCAAGATCATTCAATTCGGAGCTATGAGCAGGAAGATACGATCTCCGGAATGGACACATGTCTAGACGCCTCTCTCTGTTCGTGTAAATGCACTGCAAAGATGTGCCCTCCAGGAAGCCTTCCACTTCCCAAGCACCGAAATTTCCGTCCCAAAGTTGGAGATAAATGAGTCCTCTGTCTTCTGCAACCGGAATCACTCAATTATGACAAGTATCGTAGAAGTTACACTCTCTGGAATGCAAAGTGGTCCAAGCTCCTCTGAATGCTGCGAGATGGTCTTGCGACTTGGTTAACCCGCAGGCCTGAAGATGAATGCCTGAAAGCTGATGCTGCGAGTTGAGAAGTGCGGGTAAGCTATCACTGGATGAGGTCTGAGGCTCCCGAGCAAGAGAAATGCTAAGTCCACAATCGTGCGACTTAGGCATGCGAGTTAGCCGCGCCTGGAACTAAGCCGCACGATCACTCGCAAATCACTCCGACTTGAGCCTGCGACCTATGTGCAATGGAAACCAACCCGCACATATGCACATTCCCCAGAAACCGCCTTGGTCCTGCGAGTTGAAGAAGAAGAAGATCAAGCCGCAGCAACACTCGGAAAACACTCCTACTTGGGCGTGCGGCTAAGACAAGACGATTTAAGTCTCACAAGACAGGTTCTTCATCTACTGCGACTTATTCATGCTACCTGGGAGATACTGGACCAACCCGCAGGACTTCCACCTTATCCATTAAAGCCGGGTCAGGACCCGGTTTGTTCCGGGCTGACCCGGTTCGTTTTTAGAGAGATATAAATACTTTTTAGGGTTTTTTTTTGTGAGAGAACTAAGCTTTATTCCCTTTGTCTCTTGCCTCTTTTGTGAAAAGACTCCACTAAGAAGAGAAATATCGATTATTGAGTATTTAATCAAGAGGGTTTAAGAGATCTTAGTGTTTAAAGCTGCTTTCTTCGGAATCTATCATCTATCTCTTCATCTATACACTTCTAATCATGATTAACAACACATCTTGCAAAGGATCTAGTGTGTTGATCATGATTAGTGAGTAATTTCCATATTAAGGTCTTAGATATGTAGATTAGGGTGCTTAAGTGGTAGATTAGTGAGCTTAGGGGTTAGATCATGCATATTCCATTCTCTACAACTTGTTCTCTATGCTAGATCCATACAAATCATATGTGGTCTAGATTCTGGGCATTTCATGCACCAAAAGTGTTTGATGAAATGCCTGAACCAAGGTTGTTAGAGGTTTAAATGTTATTCATCATGGAAATGATTGTTTATATGCTTAAATGACAGATTAAACTGGTTATTAATGCTTGCTGATTCATGTTTCACTAATGATGATTAGGTTAGAAGCTGTTTTAGCATAGAAGTTGATACCTTCATGAGAGGATTAGCTTAATCAATGATGTTTAAGTTGAATGGTTTGCTTGATCATATGGTTCATTAGCTCACTAGTTTATCACTGAAGGCACCCTAATCCACTATCATGTCTAAGACCTTTCTCATCATCATTCATACATTCTCATCATTTGTCATTGTTTAGTTCTTGTTTAATCATTTCATTAGTCTTTAATCCTGTTTAAGTTTGTAGTTGTCATTAGTTAACCAAAACCACTCTTGTTTGCTTGAATTAAGAACATGATCACATAGTTTAGTGTCTAACACTACATCTGGATTGATAAACCCCTTGTACTACAAGACAGGGGATTGATAAGCTCTACAAAGAGCCTTGAAAACTCTTAGTTATCAAATAATCAAATAAACAACACAATAAGAACACAACAACAGTAAAAAAACACCGATTAAATATTCAAATAACACCAAACCAAACGAAAACTTACCTAACAATATACTGCGAAGCCCAAAATTGTGATCATACTTTTCGATGGATTCAAAATACCATATTTAGAAGAACTCATAGTTAAATTAGTCTGTAAGCAAAGGAACATATCGGAAATCACACAAAAAAAGAAAAACTAAAAAAAACCACGTAGAGTAACCAATCGCCAATCGCCAAAATCTTGGTTTCTTGAAGTGGATGCTTGATTCTGTTTCAGCTCCTTGATGTCTTGCTGCATAGATGCATACTGACTTGCAAAAATTTGTTGACCCTGAAGCAGCTGTTGTAGAATCCCAACCATATCTGGCCCAATCTGCTGCTGCAGGTGAACCGGTGCTGACTGAAACTGATGCTGAACCGGCGCCTGCTGCTGAAACTGTGGTTGACTGAACCCTGGTGGTGCTTTTGACTGCTGCTGTGAACTGAAACTAGAACCCTGGACTGGTTGCTTCTGATACAGACTGTAACCCTGATTATGAACAAACTGATTCTTTGGTTGAAAGGACCCTTGGAAGTTGTTCTTGGGAACAAAATTCTGTGGAGCTTGAGAGGTAGGGTAGACATGGTCTTGTGGGTTGGCGACATTGGGATTCCTGTAAGAGAGGTCCTGATTGGCATTGGCATACTGATATCTTTGGAACCTCTGATTCCCAATATAGTTTAGCTCTTCTTGAGTAAGACCCTGTTCACTGATGTTCTCAAAGCTTTGAGAAGGTTCCTCAAACTCTCCTACAAAGTGTATTGGCTTTTGAGTGGCCAATATCACCTTGTCCAGCTTGCTTTCAAGTGTTTTAAAGTCCTTCTCATACCTTTGAACCCTGCTTCAACTCTCACTCCTATTGGCTCTATCAAAGTCTTCTCCATAAGTGTCATTGCTCATTGCTAGGTTCTCTACCAACTCTAAAGCAGCATGAATCTCCTTCCCCAGAAAGTTTCCATTTGATGCAGTATCCAGTTGATTCCTTATCTTGGGAAGAGCCCCTCTATAAACTGTGCTGAGAAGAGAAGCCTCACTAAACCCATGGTGTGGGCATTGGTTAGTGTAGCTCCTGAATCTTTCCCATGCTTCACCAAAACTCTCATTGGTATGTTGAGTGAAATTGGAGATTTGGTTTCTCAGCTTTGCTGTTCTGGAAGTTGAGAAGAACTTAGACAGAAATGCCTGCTTGCATTGCTCCCAGGTTTGAATGGAGCCTATTGGAAGATTCTTCTCCCATTGGTGTGCTTTGTCACCAAGACTGAAGGGGAATAATCTGAGCTTGAAGCTGTCCTTATATACTTCATTAATCTTTGTCAAGTCACAAACTTTATCAAACTGGTCCAAGTGTTCCAAAGGATCTTCCATTGGCAATCCATGGAACTTGGAGTTTTGGACCATATTCAGCGAAGATGCCTTGACTTCAAAATTGTTGTTCTGCACCGGGGGTGCTTGAATCCCTGCTCCATACTGATGAGCATTGGCCCTGACATTCTCTCCTACATAGACAAGTGGCTGCTCATATCTCCTTGGTTGGTTTTGGAAGGGCTGTTGGTGGTGAACCTGTTGTCTTTGCTGTACATTGGCCTGGTGCTTTTGCTGATGAGCTAGAGCTTGTCCTTGGTGGACATAAGCTGATGTTGATGCACATGTTCCTGCTGAACATTACCATGATGGAACCCTTGACCAGCTCCATTACCAGCTCCATTTCCAGCTCCATTACCAGCGGCATTACCAACTCCATTATCCTGCTGCACCTGAGCCTTTTGCCCCTCTTGAACCTGCGGCTCAATGTCAACCACATGCTGTCTCTGATCTTCCATATTAGCCGGATCAGTCTGTCTTCCACGCCTATCCCTTCTCCTTCTTGGAACCAAAAGATTGATGTTGTCGTTTAGAGGGAAAGGTGGACCACAGCTTCTTGAACTGGACCTGGTGTTCATACACCTGAAAGCAAAAACAAAAACAGAACTTGAAAGTAATCAGTAAAAACAAAAAATAAGTACTTGATCTCAAGAACAGATCAGAGCCTAATGCTAAACAACCCACAATTTGGCAACGACGCCAATTGATAGAAAAGACTTTTTATGGTCTTAGGGCTATTGATCCCCTTGTCAAAGTAGCACAAAAGAGGTGTCAATCCAAGAATGTGGTGCTAGACACTAAGCTATGTGATCAGTTTCTCAATTCAAGTAAACAAGTGAGGTTTTGATTGACTAATGACAACTAAAAACTTAGAACAAGATTAATGACTAATCAAATGATCAAACAAGAACTAAGCAAATGACAAGTGATGTGAATATGAGATGATGGAAGCATGAGATTCTAGACATGATAGTTGGCTAGGGTGCTTTGGTGCTGAACCAGAAATGCTAATGACAATTATGAAACATGATTCAAATGATTTAGAACTCTAATCAAGATTGATCCTCTCATGAAGGCATTAACCTCAGCACTAATCCATTTTCAAACCAAATCATCATTTGTGAAATAAAATGAATCAATGAGCATTAAGAAACATTTATAAAAGATCATTTATGCAAATAACAAAACATCATCATGCAGCTAATGCATAAACCTCTAATACAGCTCTTTCAGGAATTTCGTCAAACACTTGTGGTGCATGAAATTCCCTGATTCTAGATCTCAACTGATGTGCAAGGATCTAGCTTTAGGATCAGCTGTTTAGAGAGATGAATCAATGAATCTAGCCCTAAGCACTCCTAATCTAACACTTTAGCACCCTAACCTACACATCTAGAACCTCATTAAGAAAACTACTCACTAATCATACTAATCTCTCTTAAACCTTTTCAAGTACAGTATGTTGTCATGAATGATGGGAAATGGAGATGGAGATGGTAGATGATGATGGGTTTGCAGCTTTAAACACAGAAATCTCTCAATCTCTCTTGATTAAAACTCACAAAGGGATGGAAGATGAAGATGGAGATGATAGATGATGATGGATTGCAGCTTTAAACACCAAGTACTCTCTTGATTCAAACCCAGAAAATGAAGATCTCTCTTGCAAAGTTTAGGTCTTTCACAAAAGAGGCAAAGAAACAAAGAAAATAAAGCTTAGTCTGCTGGATAATGTCTAAAACATATATATAGGTAGGGTTTCTTGATGGACCAACCTAGGACAAACTAGGTATTGCCCCCAAAAAGGCCCACAAAAACGTCTTGGTTCGAGAATGTATCGAGGTGAGTTGGACCGGTGCAGGACGTCAATATTCCTTCGGCAATTTGAGACTGGTTACACCGAGACACTACACCGGCTGAACTCACCTCGGTGCGGCGTTAAGGATAGCTTCAGGGGATCAATACCGAGCAGGATTCAGTCAGTGCAGCATCTCGACAATTCTTCGGGATTTGGACTTCCAAAAGTCGGCCAAAAACGTCAAAGCTCCAAGGTCATATCGACCAGATTTTGGTCGGTATTCCTTCTTGATATGAATGTAGACCGCTTGCACCAAATCCTTCATAACTCCTTGCTCACAGGTCCGAAGCTTGATCTTCAAACTCCACGAACCATATGACGTCCATAGCTCCAAATTTGGTGAAGGGCTCAACCCCGTATGACGTCAGCAAAGTCTCCGTCTCGTCGGTTCTTTGAGGCGCTTCGCGTAAGTCCTGATCAGGCCGCGAGACATGTGTTCCTTCCGACGGTGATATCTCCCAGTTCACGGCTCCAAATAGCCTGATTCCAAGTGCTCTGCAAAACTAGACTCGTTCCTTTTGATTCTTGATGAAGACATTGGAGGTTGAATCGCAGTGCAAGTCTTTCGTCTCACGCGATCAAAGTAGAGGTCTCATCGGCACCAAACCATCTGTCCAAGTTGCTGTACACAGGTGAGGGTTTCTCCATGATCCCAGCTCCAAGTTGCTCCCAAAAGTCTCCAAATGACCGGAGAATACTCCAAAAATACAGGACACTCTAGGACCTAATGCAATTCTTAAACAAAGCTAGAACCAAAGACAAACTCTAATAAAACTAGCTAAATGTATGCATGAGACTCAATATTTGGACAAAAATGCAATCCTAAACATGACAAAATATGAGTATATCAATCTACATGATGGAGGAAATGATAACAGACATGAAAGAATGCATAAGATAGAATAGAAAAGCTAAACAGATAAAAGGAGAAAGAACAATGGTTCAGGGGAAGAATTCCCATCTCCATCGCCTAACCCTAAGAAAACAAAGTTTGGTGGCTCAAAAACTCATTACAAGAGCACACACCAGGTTAGGACTGCTAAGAAATGTATTTATAGGTCTTTAGGTCTTCCAGGTCTCATTTAGGGCTTCTCTGCAGAGAATTGACGAAATGGGCTTTGATGTTGGGTCTTGTGGTTTGACATAGGTCCACCGCGGGTGAGAGTCTTCCAGGGCAAGTGAAATGCTTGTTTGCCGTGGGTAAGAGTCATCCAGGACTAGTGATTTTTGTCAACTTGCTCTTCACATAACTTTTGATTGCACCGTTTGATTGTCCTGCTGTAAAGTGCTATGGAAAGCTTGTTGTCTCCTATTGAATGTCTCCAAATTTGAGCTGGATCAGACGGTGAAAAGGTCTCCATTTGAGGCTGGACTTCTGACGGGACTCTGAGGTAAAAATATGGGTTTCTTCCGTTTTACCATCTTTTTCCCTAAGTTTCCTGAAAAGAGCCTTGAAACTTCCAACATAGAGAAATCATAATAAAAGTTCCTAAAACTGATTAAAACCTTTGAAAAAGCATTTGAAATCAATGGTGAAAATAGGTACAAATACGGTGTTATCACTCAGCATATCCAATAAAAATGCAATCGATACCTCTTTCCTCAAAGTTTTAATCTTGGGTTGGGGTAGTCTAACGACCACCCTACAATCCCAAATTTGGAGGTAGTTCAAGTTTGGTTTCTTTTTGGGAAAACGACCTATTTCCCCATTGGAAGTATCATATAGTAATAGATCCACCCAAACTTTCAACCTAGGCATAGATCCCCCTAATTAGAAAGTTTAAAACATCTTTCCCCCCAATTAGAAATTTTTAAATCTATTTACACACAAAATTTGATTTTATCGGTTATGGTTAACAAACCGACTAAACCTAATCCTAAACCAAATAAAACCCAATCTAATATGAAAAAACTGACCTTATGAGTTATTATGACCAAAGGGTGCTCTATATCCTCTTCTCCTTTTCTCGTTGAAAAAACCCAGAATTCTTCGAAAGAAGACTACCCAGCAACGAATCTCAAGAAATTACATGTATTGAAGTAATTCGATTTGGTAACAAAAGTAAGAGAATGCAAAGTCTAGGGATTGAGATTGAAAATACACATTGAATCAATTTGATTTAACCCAGTTCAACAAAGTCAAATTGATTAAGTTTATTTAACATAACTTCGATAATCAGATTCATATGGAATAAATTTATTCCTTTTGTTAGGAACCCTATTTAATAAATAGCACGCCGTTAACATGGCCTCACCCCAAAATCTGTCACTTAATCCCGAGAAAGATAACATGGCCTCACCCCAAAATCTGTCACTTAATCCCGAGTAAGATAACATGGCATTAACCATTTCCTTAAGGATTCTGTTTTTCCTCTCGGATACACCATTTTGCTGTGGTGTATATGGAGCTGTAGTCTCATGTATAATGTCTACCGACTGGAAATAGGCAGGATCATAATACTCCCCACCTCTATCAGTGTGTATTATCTTAATCAAGTCATTTTGTTGCAATTCAACCTCAGTTTTATAAACTTTAAAGTTATCTAGGGCTTCATCTTTAGCAGGCAATAAATATACCTAACAAAATCAAGTATGATTATCAATGAACGTGATGAAATACTTCTTGTTTCCTAAAGATGGTGTAGCATGCAAATCACATAGATCACTATGTATAAGTCCAAGCACCACATAATTTCTTTCTATACTCTTAAATGGTTGTCTAACTATCTTTGTCTACATGCAAGTACTACAATTCTCTATATTTAAGTCAAAAGAAGGAATCAAACCTTCTTTAGACATTTCAATCATATGCTTATAATGTACATGACCTAATCTTGCATGCCATAGAGAAGTATCTACTTTGCTAGAATATGCCATATAAATAGAATCGATAACTTTATTAATATTAAGCATAAACATGCCA